CTTTCATTGTGTGGGGGTTTCCTCAGAAATCTGAATCCCTTAACCAGAAAATAATGTAATTTCCCTAATGCCTTATAAGTGGAGTCCCATGTGTGGTAAAGGTCTGTTTTAAAGTTCTGCTTTTGTACTAAAAACCAAAGTCAGCACTGTCAATTTAAAAATGGAGAAAAGGCACGAACACCCTCTGCTGGTAGTAGCTGAAACAGATTTTGGTATTGGATTCTGGTATATTCTGGGACTAGTTAACCGATTTTGAGGGCAACCGTAGGTGGGGTCTCTGTCTGGAGAGAATTGCATCAGCTGTGGAGAGTAATGGAACAAACTTAGCTGATTATTTTAACTGTGAGTGATGGCACAGTACTTCTTCTGGCTGATTTGTTTGTTGTTTTTGATAAAAACTTATTAAGAAATGAGATGTGTAAGACAAACTCCTTTTCCCAGTTAAAAAGCTAACTAGATCAGAGAAGAAAAGAAAAACCAGTATCTAGGATGCTTACTCAACAAGAAAATTTATTCAGAGATTGAGATATAATTTGTCTTAGTAATTTAGTTTTTGAAATTTTAGTCAATCAGTGATAAGAAACTTATACAAGAATTTTTAAAAACTGTTGTAGAGTTTGTATTTCTGATTTTTAAAATTGACATTAGGGCTGGGGATGTGGCTCAAGTGGTAGCGCGCTCGCCTGGCATTTCGATCCTCAGCACCACATACAAACAAAGATGTTGTGTCAGCCGAAAACTAAAAAATGAATATTAAAAATTCTCTAATTCTCTCTGTCTCTCTCTCACCTCTCTCTTTAAAAAATAAAATAAATAAAAAATGAAATTGACATTAAAAAAAAAAACCTCCTGAAATAATTTTGTTTTTCTGGATTTGTCCTTCATGCAAAAGAAGGTTGGTTACCATCAGCTTAGAGCTTTCCAATTTGAATCTGACAACTCCATTCTCCCCCTTTAAACTGCTCCCTCCTATTATGACAGACATCAGTGCATGGAAGTTAGGCACGACAGGAAGAGCAGGAAGGGGAGGGCAAAGAAAAGGGGCTTATTTAGAGTTCCAGTCATTTTATATAAACAACACATTTATACATGACATGTTTTTATTTAGCTACATATTTCTTCTTCCTTTTCTTCTTTCTCAGAGCTGAGGATTGAAGCCAGGGCCTTGGTCATGCTAGGCAAGCACTCTCCACTGAGCTACATACCCAACCCTTTATCTATTTTATTTATTTATTTTTTCATTTCATAGCAGTTTTATTCATTCACTGATCCAGTATTTACAGGAGCCAGAAGGGACAGGCCATGCTCAGCCCAGAGAGGCAGCTGCCACACTTGCCAGACCCCCCAGTCATTATGTACAGATAAGAGACCGGTTTGGATCACTTTCAAAACCATGTGGCGGAGGCCACAGGGCTGTTTGGGGCCTGATCTCCAGAGGCAGTGCTGAGCCCATTACCCCCTGGCATCAAGCCCTCTGGGAACACAGGAACTCCAACTGATTTGTCTTGATCCTGCCATCCCCCACCCCGAGTGCCTGGCAGAGGCCCAGGAGGCGGGTGCAGAAGTGATAGCTGAGAGGCACCAGTACCTGTAAGCAGCCCAAGCTCTGACTAAGTCTTGCTAAGTTATTCAGGATGGCCTTGAACTTGTGATCCTTTTGCCTCAGTCTCCTGAGTAGCTGGGATTACAGGCATATGTCACTGTTCTGGCCCTGATATTTCTGCATACCATTCTATATATCTAGTGTTTGAATCTGGAATGACCCCCCAAAACTCAATATGTAAATGTCTAGGTGCCCAGCTTGGTGTTTTTTTGGTGGTGGTGAAACTTGTAAGAGGTGAGGCCTCTTAGCAGGAGTTCCCTAAGCCTATGGTTTTTCTGTTACTCCCAAACTTCTGAAAAATATGTAAATCTACTGGTAAATCATGAATTAACCCAGTCAGGTTGAGGCTCAGACCCTGGGAAAGAGTTTTGGGATCTTAGTAGGTGAAGGAAGATGCCAGTCACAGTTGGGATAGTAGACATACTTTATTTGAAGGTGACAGCAGCCCCAAGCCCTTAGCTCCCCAAGTCATTTTCATAGGACTGTTTTATGTATAGGCCAAAGAAGGCACATTGCCAACAGGTTGCATAAGTGAGTACATGCTCACAAGCAAAATGTTTATGACCTTGAGTACATACACTGAATCAGGGTTTTCATGATCTTGGCTATATACTAAAAACATAGCCCTCTGGAAGCTTTGGCAAGGGAACCTAACTATAGTGATCTTGGGCCTGCCCTACACCCCCAGTAATTAAGCAAATAAGCATCTATAATTTACTTTCCAATGCTATCTATTGATCTGATAATGAAGACCACATGAGCCTGAGGATCTGGAAATTGACCAAACCACTAGAACTTGTCTTGGGATCATTCAACTGTTACCACTTCTACATACCTTTCTATACCCTCCTCACCTTCAACAAACAGGAACCCCCAAAATGTGTCTCTCACTCTCAAAATGACCTACATTCCCCCTTAAAGGCATATTCCTTGTTTCATACACAAGGGTGTCTCTTGAGAGTGCCCTCATTCTCCTCCGAATCTATTGTGTACTTTCCTACTCTATGTCTTTAACTGGTGCCTACAAAATTCCTTTTCATTAATTATGCCAAGAACCCTGCCCTTCTTGAGTTGAATTCCCCTTTCTCTCCAGGAACTCCTCAGACCTTGTAGAGGGGACACCTCTTCTCCAGTGATAAAATGACTGATAAGTGTTTTCATATAAATTCCCATCTCCCTAACCCTTTGAGTGGAATAACTCTGAGGTTATATGCTTTACACTGGCTTTCAGAGTTTTTTAGTGGGAGTAAGCTCCAGTTTTCCATGATGCTAACTTTCTTGATAATAAACCCATAGTAGATTTCTTCTCCTCCTTGACTCAATCCCTTGCTCTGCTACCAGTGTTTCCTAAGATCACCTCCATCACTGACTACTTTAACTCAGGTCCTTTCTCACAGTCTGCCTTTTAGGAAATCCAAACTAAGACTTGAATTGTCCCATGGGAATAACGAATAAATAGGAATACTCCAGTTTGTGCTCCCTACTCAACTCCTAGACTACTTCAGGCTGAGTGTGGATTCATTTTCTTTTTAGGGAATTTGACCAGCCAGAAAGAATGACGGTACAGATACTTATATCATCTGTGTCCAACTAACATCCCAGCCAGATTATCCTACAGCAAAGCTCTCAAAAAACAAGCCCTAACCTCATGTTGAGAGCTTC